TCCTGGAAATAGATTGATGATGGCAGACATTGTCTATGAAGCAAGTAGAAAAAATTGATACCTTATTTGTGTTTTATAAAATAACTGGTTTCTTCATTTTAAATTTATAATATAGTTTTAAATATTCTGCTTTTATTTCCAGTAGGGATTTATAGCTGATTTTGCCTATACATGCCTGTTAATTGGTTTTAGATTTATATATGTAGCAAAACAATAGTAACCTTTTCAGTTAATCTCTCCTCCTGTATCTTTGTTTAACTTTTCTTGAGTTGCAAAAGACAAAGTATTTGGTGTGAGCTGGCAGGTATTTAAAAAAATCTGCTTAGTCCTTAAAAATACACACACACACAAGGTACACAGATGCAGCCTCTCAAGCTCAACCTATCTGAGAGCAAACATGACAAGAACCTGCTTGTTTGAAGCAGCTGCAGTCTCTTAAACTGCATTTTTGCAAAAAAAACTCAGAATAAAAGACCAGTGTTCCCTTGCACTTCCCAAAGCGTAACAGGCAAAGCCTCAATTCCTATGCTTGCGGGTGCAAAAACAGGAGAGAGAATTAAAACTCTAGCAATGCTTTTCTTGTTTATTTTTTATCTGGTTTAGATCACAAAATTAGTTGTTAAAATTGCTCAGTAGACTAAATGTTGTATAGAAAGGTAACAAAATAGATGATTTTTTTGCCCAAGCTTCTTGCTGTTATAGCCCTCATCTCCTGCTTGTCCTTTCGAGTCTCTGAACAGCTATATTCACATCGTTTCAGTGTCAAACCTTGTCAGCAACAAATTTTTTTATCTGCAGGTGCAACTCAACAGTGGTTTAAATATTTTGGCACAGGGATATGCTTGGGTGCGTTGTGTTCTCAGCAGCGTAACTGTTTTCGGCATCTCCGCTGTGGTGGTGCTGTAGTGCGTAGCCTGACAATATCACTTCTTTTTAACTCATCCACCCTCTGCTCTCCTTACAGAAATGTAATAAAACTGAAAGCAAAAGCAGATACTTTCATATAACACTTTTATATTAACATCTCTTTTCTAGAAAATTGTACTCTTAGTAATCAAACTGATTGAAACTAAGCAGTGTTAATGATATAGCTAAAGAGCTAAGACTTTTTGGGGGGTTTTTTTTTTGGAACTGGAAACATCAGTGGCAAATTGCAAGACTTTTTCCAACAATGTTAAAGACTGTTGCATAAAGCATGGAGAAGTGAATATGGAAGGGCAGAGTGTTACCAAAGTAGGCTGCTTGGTCTGGATGCTAAAACTTGACGTCATCTTCAAACTGTCTGAGGATAGCTGTGACCAGCTGCTGTTGTCATATGAGGGCTCCCAAGTCTCCATTCCCATTTTTGTCAGAAATTGTGAACTTAGGAACTGGTCTGCATCAGGTTCACTGAGCAATCAATTAGCAATCAAAGTGAGAAGCACCTGGATTGAACTTACCTCACGAGTAATGCAGACAGATGTGACAAGAGGCTTTGAAAAGCAGTTCTTTATATACTCTTTCTGATAAAAGAAATTAATTTTTCAGATCTTCATCCAAAACCCTCTAGTACCCAAGTGGAAAACCAATCTCCTAGTGGGTATGCCATACTGCAGTGCTACTCTATAACTTCTCACCATATTTTTTTTTCCCAGAGTAATTTTTTTGCATACCCCCTCAGTAGCTAGATCTGTTATCATATTTATCAGCAAACTTGTTCCTGTCAGTTTATATCTTTGGGACAAACTCTGATGCTCTATGACCAGCTGACTTAGAGTTGATCTGCTGCTGTGACCTCCTTAAAGGATTCTGCACATAGGTGTGGGATACTATCCTAGAGAAGCCAAGCAGGTATAAGACTGCAGCCATGGGCTCCATCAGTCTTGCTTTGCAGTGGAGGAAGAAGTCTTAGTGCATCCTAATCACAGGTACAGTTTCTCTGAAAATCGTTCCCTGAGGATCTGAAGAGGGGTTTTGTATTTTAGAAGGAACAGATAGATTCTGAAGGACTTTTGACCCCGACAGCATAAAACATTATGTTAGGTGGTAGGACTTCTTTAAAAAACTCAAAATATGAAAAATAATCATTAGCTTTTTTTAGTTGCACAAGCTGCTCTGCATCTTCATTGCTCTCTTTAATGTTAGAGGCTGATAATACTTTACTGGCTTGTGTTGTTGGGATGGAATCTGTGATTGTGAAATAAAGCCGTGCATTCTTGTATAATGATTTTTTTTATTTCTATTTTTAGATGAAGTTACAGTTCTTGTACTCCTAGACGACATGCCAATTTTTTTTAATTGCCAGTGTTATAAATTTGCTGCATTGCTCCTTTAATTCTGATAAAATAGTTGATAGTTGGCAAGAACTGTAGATGATAAAATTTACCGTGAAGTAAACAGGTTTTTGTTTTTAAAACAAGAATTTTTCAAGCCTTCTGCATTTTACAACAAATTGCTTTTTTTTCTACCTAACTGATTTATTTTTTCTTCTTGAAATGTATTTGAACAAGTGAGGGAGTGCAGCTGTCAGAAGATTAACCAGCTGAAAACTATTGTCAGCATTAATTTTGCTCTAATAAATGAATCTCTGAAGCTATTTAGCAGTCTGTAATCTAGATACAAGGCTATTGACCTATGATGGATAGTACTGGATTTTGTTTGTAAGCTTTGACTTAAATTGTCTACTTAATTTGCTGCAGGTCAGATCACAGGATTAGTGGTAAAGGCCATTATGTGGTTTGAATAAAAATAGCTAGAGGAATGGAATGAAAATCATTGTGTTTATTAATGTAGCAATCTTTGTGGTCATGTACATACCAGTGAACTGGTAGCCAAGAAGACAACAATGATCTGTTTGTGCTAGCTCTAAATCCATGCTTTGCTCTTGGACCAGTTCCTGTGAGTTGCCTGGAAGGGACTTGTTCAAGTGAGTTTAAGAATTGGCTGCAAATAGGATGTCTCTCAACCTGGGCAGGAAGATCTTCACCACCATATATATTTAAGTACCTCGACAGTATTCTATATATAGACTGATTGTTTTTTCAAAACTATGGGTCTGACTGAGTTTTTCTGGATGCTCCAGTTCTGGACTTACCAGCAGAAAGACACAGATTTCCTGGAGTGAATCCAGCTATGGCCCATGAAGATGACAAAAACTCTGGACTATCTTTCATATGAGGAGAGTCTGAGAGAGCTGAGACTGTTAAGCATGAAGGGTAGGCTCAGGGGGGATCTTATCAATGTGTATCAAAAGCTGATGGGAGAGACTGAAGAAGAAGGAGCTACACTGATAGGACAGGAGGCAATGGACATTAATTAAAACACAGAAATTCCATCTGAAACACACAAAAACACTTTTTTGCTGAGAGGGTAGTCAGGAAAAGGTTGCCTAGAGAAGCTGTGGAGTCTCCATCCTTGGAGACACTCAAAAGCAGACTGGACATGGTCCTGGGCAACGTGCTTCAACTGTCCCTGCTTGAGCAGGGGGGTTGAACTACATGATCTTGAGAGGTCCCTTCGAATGCCAGAAGTCCCATGATTCTAGCTTCTAATATAGGTTGAGCAAGTACTTCATCAGTGGAAGCATCTTTACTGTTGCCTATTTTTGCATAACTGGTAGGTATTTACTCTTTTTGAGACCTTGATCTACGAAATTTGTCTGAAATTCTTTAGTGATTTCAAAAGATGGTATATGCTGAAAGGTGGATGGGGAAAATAAACAGTTGGCAGATAATGAAAGGGGCGTTTTTAGACATAGTCACAGAGAGCAGTTGTACAGAGACAGTGAATCAAATGAAATTTGTATTGAAAAGCAAATAAAAATTCATCAGATTATTCAGTGTGAGGAGCTGCAGTGTAACCGTCCTCGATGTTGTAAACAAAGTCCAAAACTGACCACTTCTTTAGCTGTGTTGCAGCACTTCAGAGCACTGTACCTAACTGAACATGTTTAATTCGAAAGTTGGTTGTTATCTGCAGCTGTACATCCTAACAGGTTCATGTTTGTTGCATAGCACAGAAAATTTATAGTGGCTATGCTTCTTTCAAAGTGAAAATTAGGGAGGAAGATGATTTGTTCATCAGTTTAGGCCAAATTTTTCTAGCTGTTATTAAATGCTGAGGATGAGGAGGTTAATAATGTATGAGTAATTCATATTAGAATTAGACTTCTTTTAAGAAATAGAATATTTCGTGGAGCTGATAAATATCACATGAAAAATTTGCTGGAGTTGTGCTTATCGGAACTGCATAATCAAAGAACTATGGTGTTTGCTTACTGAACTGTGGTAAAGACAGGACAGACTACAGGAATAAAACTGGGAATAGTGCGTCTGTGTGCATATGTGTATGAATAATTTTTACATTGTCTTTTCATAGTTCTTTACGTCATTGTATGTGCATTAAGTTTATAGGAAACTAACTTAAAGTTTTTCAAGATGAATTTTGCTTCAGAATAGAAACATAACAAACTGCAAAGATTCAGAAGACTTGGTTTTATATGTCTATGTCTTTTAGCTGTTCAATTATGTGAAAACCAGGAAACATTGATAAAAATTAGCATAGGTTTAGAAAGGGTGATAAAAGCAGAGATAAAAGCACTATTACTTTGAGCAGTAGTTTGTCAATGGTCGTATGTGAAGAATAGTTTGACAAAAAAGAAATTTTATTTAGTAATTCAGATACAGTGAATTTTGTGGAGTGCAAAGTTGCAGGAAGAGTTGATTGTTTCTTCATATAAACTATAAAAAGTGACATTGCCAGTTATATGTAAGTCTCATGACTTCTTTATCCACTATTGAGCCTGGAAGATATTGTGGCTTTATCTCCATCAGATGTTTGAGAATTAAGATCACTGATCCTCTGAGTACTGAGAGTATAGGCTTACTTTTACACAGAATTTGAGATGTTCATCGTAAGTGCAGTGTTAGTATTGCATCACCAGACCCTTACTGATAAGACAAACTACTTAAGTTTTTGGGTTTTCTAATAATGGTATTAAATCCAATGTTGTCTTGATTCAGGTGTTGGAGCTGCTCGAGCTGGAAACCTTACTTTCATGGTTGGTGGAGTGGAACAAGAATTTAATGCTGCCAAAGAGTTGCTAACATGCATGGGTTCTAATGTGATTTACTGTGGAGAGGTTGGAACCGGACAGGTAATGCTTTCTGAAGGGTTAATTGTTATCTCAGTCTTACGTTTTTCTGGCTTTTTCTCTACTGATACCTACTCTTTTATTTCAGGACTAAATGCATTATAATATATCCTCATACTTCATACTTGTTTGCTTGTTTACTTGTCTCTAACTATGTGTTTATAAAATAACCTCATGGCCCTTTTGTCCAGTATGTTGTATAGCTTCGTACCAAAGTGTGATTGGTGTTTATCCACATTGGCTTGTTGAGATTATACTACTTAAAGGAGGATATTTTAATTTTGTTTCTTCTAAATTTAGATTTACTGGATATTCTGAAGGACAAAGAGCCCCTACATTCTATGTAGGGGCTAACTGACTGACCTTCTGTACGAAGAAAAAAAGTACTTCTTAATCTCTGAAGGAACCATAGAGCAGCTTTCATTAACTGTACTATCATAGATCTGTGCTTACTGGTGCTACCTCTAGAAGAGAGCTGCCAAAATGTATTTGATCGTACAGTGCTGAGCCTAGTTAAAGATGATTCTTACATGTTAGGTCTACGAAAATGCGTGAACTAATTGATGGTTTCATGACATTTCAGGCTGCAAAGATCTGCAACAACATGCTCTTGGCCATCAGTATGATTGGAACTGCTGAGACTATGAATCTTGGAATCAGGTTTGTTTGATTTTTGTACGGGATTGAAGCATTTTTTCTGTGTTTACAGTTTTCGTGTATTATGGTTGATTTTGCTGAGACAATGATGATTAAATGGCACAGATAAACTTTTGCAAGAAGTTGTCTTATAAAGTTAATAACAGGCTAAAGGGATTATTTAATAAAGTAGGGGTTTTCAGAATGGGAATATTTTCTTGTATTGGCTGTTGCATTCTGCATCTGAAGTTACGAATTTATTTGTTCTGCTGTAGTGCAGTGTGCAATAATGTTTGTCTTGTATTGTAAACATGCAGAGATAATACAGAGGTAGGTTTTTGTTTGTATTCTAAGCTAATGTACAGTTTATTCAGAGTATTACACTCCCATATGGCTCTCATTGGCTCTGTTTACTTTGTTAAATTGTTCCAAAATATATTGTAAAACAAAACTTGTACTACAGTATGTGTATCAAATTAAGATCTAAGCATAAAACAGAACATCTACCTTTCTTTGACTTTTTGAGTGCAGTTTGTCCTAATTGCCAAAACTCCTAGCTTGTCAAAGAGCTGCAGTATGCTCCTCTGCATTCTTGTCAATGCTAAGATTACCATTTCTTTTCTAGCATGTGATACTTCTAAGTGACAGCATATTCAAGCAAAATTATTTTTACTTTCCAGTTGTAACCTATTTATTTTGCTGTGGCTTTTTGATTTTATTTTCCAATAGAGTCCATGCAAATACCAGTTCCGTATCACAGTATTTGAAGCTTTCATAAATTCTTTTAGCCAGATCTGAATAATTTGCAAATTTATAGACAAAGAAGTCTTGTGTTTGCAATTGTGTATCTTTTAAGGGTTTTCCATGAATTATTTTTCTGTGCAGTTGCATCCTTAAAATTTGCCTGTTAAAACTACAGCTATTGTAGATACTTATCTACTGGGCTCAGCTGTGTTCATGTGGATTTGATACACTATAAAAACAGTAACAGGGTATCAAATGCTTAAAGAAATAAAAGGAACACCTACATATGTGCATGTACATGAGACAATGTAATGGATTCACATTTCCTCTTAATTACCATATCAAGATGCAGTTGTTTTATTGAATTGCCCTTGTCTCAGATGTTAGACTATCTTGACCTATTAAGTTGTCATGTTGTAATTGAGATAAAAGAGGAATTTGCTTTGCATCAGTGCTAATTGGTTTATCAATATCCTGTACCATTTACATTTTAAAATTGAGAGTCTGTAAAATACTGAAGCATGTCTGCATCGAGGCATAATAAAACCAGTAGCATTGTTTACAACTATTGTAATCCAGTGTAATCCAGAAAGCTTTCATCAAGTTCTGCTTTAAGTCATGATTCACTTAATAAAGCATATGCAACTGATTTTTTGTTATAGTTTTATCTACGTTTGTAGCAATGATTAGAATTAAAATTGAAGGTAAAATAAAATCAAGAGGTTTGGAAGACAGATATTCTGGGCATGTAAACCCTGTGCAGAGCAAGTTGATGTCTGCAGTCACTGTAGCTTGAAAGTGTTTAGGATTTTCATTTTTCATTTTTTCCTTTTCCAGTTTAAATTTTGCCTGAATTTGTATTCAGCATTTGTAAGCAAAAGTCCAGTGACAATATATAAACCTTCCTACCCTACAATCAAGATTATCAAAAAGGAACTGTATTTATTATAGAAGAAACCTGCAGATTGTAATCAAAATTATACAAAAAGCGTAATCTCATTTAGTCCAAAACTGCATGAGGCTTAAGACAGAGGCAGTAATTTAAAGCCTTATGAAGTAATTTAGAACCCTTGCATTGATTTTAATTTGCTGCGATTTAGATGCTGGAGAAGATGACTTCTGCTTATATCTAGAATAAGAGCTTCCCACTTTGGGTGTGTAAAAATTTCTAATGTGCAAGTTAACACTTGTCATTCTAATTATAAGAAGTTTTACTATAGCAGTAAATTTATGATTTTTTTTTTCCAAGTCTAAAGCTCAAAGGATAGTGTGGTTGCCTAGTCTGGAGAGAGTGAGAAGCTGAGCTTGATTTATTGAATTGATGCATATCTAGTGAAAAAAGTGTGGCTCTGACCTAATAATGATAAAGGATACTGAATATCTAAATATTCAGAGTAGGAATTGTGGAACTTAGACATGTTCGTAACTTTTAGATAGAATATAAAATGTCTTTATATCATTCATTGTGTGTGTCTGCTGCATCATTTAAATTGAGTTTTAGGGACTTTGGATAACTATTCAAAATATTGTTCTCTGAAGTAGATATAACTAGAAAGTCATATTACAACACCTCCATCAACTTTGAGCTTAAATCTTCAAAACAATGTGATGTTAATTCTGTTAATAAACCACTTCGTCTGTAATGTTTTCATAAACCAAGCAGTCTAAGTTTGCATTTTCTGAAGTAGTTAGAGTGACTGGTTCATTAATTTCAGATTTTTAAATTACATTATTTATTTTATATTTGAAATTATAGAATTTTTCCAAAATTCAACATAAGTAACAAATAGAATGTGGTGAGGGGGAAAAAAACCACAACATTAAAAAGTCCTACAATAAACTCCCAGAAAAATGGGCAATATTGCTGTGTAATTTTTGTGTTTATATTCCACTTGCTTTTCTACTTTAACATCATCTTTATTTACTCATCATCTTCATTTACTAATGAAGATGTCCATTTTCACTGGAAACTATTTGGATTAGATTGCATAAATAATTTTTTAAAAAACTCCCATCCTTAGTTCTGCCCAATAAAATGCTTGTTTTGTTATGTTTAGTTTTTTCCTTTACTTTCCTGATGCTTTATGAATGTTGCTAGTAACAATTAAAAGGTATGGCAGACATTTTGGAAATGAATTTGCATTATCATTTGTATTTTCTTTTCTAGCATGTTGGTGCAACTTTTCAGGGGAAAAATTTTGAGTAGATTTTGCTATGCAGTTTTATGGATAATATGCATATTGCAAAATACTTACTGACTTCCTGTGTCAAACCAACATACAGAGTACATGTAAGCTTCACAAATATGAAATAAAACATTAAGTGCTACCATCCACAGTTAGAAACTATTTGTCTTTTTCATTTTGCTGATCATCTCAGTGTCAGTAGCTTTGTTTTACTGAGCCCTGAGTTCCAGTGAAACAATTTTTCATACCAGCAAAATAAAGCTCAGAAATTATATATTGCTGATACCTGGTTTGTGTTTAGGTCAGTTGGAAGTTGCTGCCTGACAGGCAGTTTGTGGTTCCTTCAGAAACTGGCTGCAAAGTCTCAGAGAAGGGCTTATGTGGTGGCACAAGACAGGACAAGATTGCTTAATATAGTTGGGATATAAGGGACCAGGAAAGCAGTAAGGGCTCTATGGCAATAACCTCACTGCAAAATCACTTTTGTACTTCCAACAGTAGAGAAAATTATCTCTCTGAGGAGGCAGTGGCACCCAGATTTCTGCCAAAAGCTGGAAATACAACTCCTTCCTACGCAATTTTACTGTGTGTGGATTTGTGCTTTTTTAGATACATAAGGTGAAAAGATGATAAAAGAACTACTTCTTCTTGTGCTGAGTTTAAACATAGTCTCAGTGTCTAAGTTTGGTTTCTGTGAGCACCCCTGTGGATGCAAGAGAGGAGCAGAAATGAGAGTTGACACTGTAGAGAGGAGCAAGTGCTACAGGCTGAGGAATGATTAGCCATGGACACACTTGCACTGCAAATTTTAGAAAGAGTACCTTGAAAAATAACTCCTCCAAGAAACTGTGGCTCTGCTATCTTTGGCATGGAGCTACAGCTAAGTCTTGCAAGGGTGTAGTAATGACACTGGAAAGCACTTACCTTGTTTAAAATGCCAGTGACCAAGTAATTTTTAACTGTGGCAGAAGGGTCCTACCTTTACATAATACTTATGGAAAGCACTCTGAGATGGGAAACTTTCAACAGTTTGACTACTTCAGTTGCTACACCTTAAAATGAGACCAGGATGTGCCTTTCTTGTGAGACACTATTTCAGTTTTTGTATCTGTTCCAGACTGAACTTTTGGAGGAGCATATTCAGTATCTGGTTTTGTCAAAGCTCAGCAAAACTTGAGTTTTGAGCAGTGGCCTGAGGGGATCCTATTTTAACTTTTTTTTTTTTTTGGTATGTGTGTCCCTTGCTGAGTTTCTGCTGTTCACTTCATTAGGAATGTTATTGAAGAAGCATTGATTTGAGGGAAGCAATTGTTTTTGCTTTATTATAAGTACAGTTAATACATGGGCTTCTTTTCTGCTTATAAGGGAGAAGAACATTTTGGTAATTGTAAATTCACACACACATGCACAAGCTCTTCTCATGTCCAATGGCAAGTTGTTATGGGGACTGGCAGACTGTCATCATTTTGATAGCTTGAGCAGTATATCTCTTGAACAGCAATGGAGCTCTTATGCAGAGAGTATCGTATGTTCCCAGCCAATTTACAGGGAAACAGCAATAACATTTTATCATGGTTGAGAGCCCAGTAGCTGCTTCCTATTAAACTTGCCCTTTCAGATACCTGTCTTGGATTAATTTGTTGATTTCAAATGGAAACTCAGTCTTCTCCACTGAAGCATGACTTTCTAGGATAGACTCTTGCTGAATGACAATTACTGTATATTCTAGCTGGTTTCAGACCATTACAGGCTTTGGGCACAGTGGAAGACAGAGGACTTCTTCAGTAACTGATTTTAATATATGTCTAATTTTAACTGTCAGTTATATATGCACCAGTGGATGAATCTTCAGAAAGATGAAATGCAAAGCACTTCTAACTTGCTCTTATTAATGGTACACTTGCTGAAAAGGAGGAAAAAAAAATAGGTTCAGGTCTCCCGAAGAGAAGCTGCATGGTGTTTAAGAGCAATGAATTTTGAAGAAGCAGGGATACAAACTATCTTCCTTTTTCTTTTCAGAGAGCAAAAACATGCCAGATCTAGTCCAAGACAGTAGTTTACATATCTGTGTAATACACACATGTTTTTAAAAGTATACTTTCACAGAGAGGTAGTTGGAACACTGTAAGAAGAGCATTCTTTGGGAGGGTTATATGTGTTTTGAAATAATAAGCTCTCTGTCTTGCAATATACTCACAGCTGTAATTAGGGGCCTCTGTTTGCAGCTAGATATGGCACAAATAGGCTCTATATTGTTAAAAATACTGATCTGGATATAACAATGATAAGGAAACAAACAAGCCAAGAGATTTGTTTTGGGGAAAAAAAAAAAGCAACCTTTGTATATTTGCAAGCTTAGGCTTTGAATGCTCCCACAATGCAGGGGTTTTTTTATTACAACAATTCAAGCTCTTATTCAGAGTGGCTTTTGATGAAGACTTTGATGCATTATGCAAGATAAAAGTACAATTTATTGTGAAAACATATTGGTACTGAAAAATACTTTTTTTTAATAAATGGCCACTGAAAGCATTCAGTTGAATCAGAGGGTTGAAAAAACAGGGGAGGATAATAAAGCTTGATCCCATTCAGGCCAGCAGGAGACTTTCCATTGAATTCCAAGGGTTGCTGCAGCAAATCATAAATAAGAGTACACAGCAGTAGTGCTAAAAAGCTATCTGAGGTACAGAAAATGATCTTGCTTTGCATTAGGATGGCAGAATTGCAGGAGGCACATGCCATTATAGAAATAGGAGCCACCCTATGTCTGTCTTAAATGTAGTTTTTCAAATCCAAAATGCCTACTGAAATAAATAGACATGCATTTTAGCAACTGTTCCATTGGTAAGCTTTTTTCATCTATAAATTAAAACTTTGAGTGATACAGTGCCCAGAAGCAGTGTTAGGCTATGGAGATCTGCAGAAGTCTGTGGTGTAGGAGCTAATGTAAAGAACATTGAATTCTATAAAAAACCCTTTGTAGAAGATTGTGATATATTTAAAATGTCCTTTTCTCATCTTGGATTGTTACTGGACATAATGCCCTTGCTTTCTTTTTTGTCCTGAGCATAGCTGAACATTTGTACAGGGCCAGATGAACTGCTGCTGCTCGTCCTTGGTATAAATGGAATTGATGTAGAATTACACCTGCCATTTACTATCAGCATAAATGTGAATTCATAAGAGGATTAATTTCCTATAATATTGAAGAATTTTCAGGGTCTACACTGAGCAGCAGTTTATGCCATCGTCTCTGTGGTAGAACAAATGACGTTTCTACTTGGACAAGCTTTGTTTTATCAGGATCAGTAACCTTATCAGCAGTTTACCCAGAACTATAATATATGTTTGCAAATAGATAACGTGTCAGAGTGAGATGCAGACTTGCCTCATAAGCAAGAGTATATAATGAAGATTTAATAATAGCAAAGCCACAAATGTACAGATGTACGCAATAGTAATATTTTTTGCAAAGTGTAGCATTTTTATTCACATTACTAGAGCAGAATCATTTGCGTCACCTTGTTTACTTCAGAAATGCACTGGCATTCACATATAAATGCATCACACAAGTACTTTCATGTTGCCACGCTTCCTTGTAAATTTTTTGTTTTGTTTAGAGAGTATAATTTTGATATGAAGAACAAGTATATGACCAAGTAGGTAGCAGAATAGAGAATGCCTTTTAGTAATTGAAATACCAGGGAACTACTGTTCTCAGAGGACCTTTATTTCTCCTGCACTTTCAAAATTGCTGGGTGAAGAGGATTTGCTTAGTGCAAAAGGAAAACGACTCTGAAAACCTATTGCTTAAATGGTGGATTGATGCTCCTTAATTTAAGATACAACATCCCTGCCCCCAATATCAATACTCTGTCATTTTTCATGACTTATAATAAAGGGAGAGGAATGACGGTAGGGTTCTAAGATATAAAACAAGTCACCCATGTCTTGTGCATTTTGACATTACCACTTCTCTTCCTTGACCTTTGACAGATTAGGCCTTGACCCAAAGCTGCTGGCCAAAATCCTAAATATGAGCTCAGGTCGCTGTTGGTCAAGCGATACGTACAACCCTGTTCCTGGAGTGATGGAAGGAGTACCGTCTGCTAATAATTACCAAGGTGGCTTTGGAACAACACTCATGGCTAAGGTACGTAACACTTGCATGTGAAGTATGTGCAGTTGCTTCTCTCTGGGCTTCTTACAAACATTCTTCTTAGTGAAAATTTATGATTACAGGATAATATGTAGGGGAACCCAGCCTCTTCCTGTAGCTCTGAATTAATGAGTTGTTTAGGGAGCTTTTCCTTAACCTCTAGCTTCTTTCTAACCACTGTTACTGCTGAGCCACTCATTGGGATTATATACACTGTCTTTTTGAGTTTTGCCTTAAAAAAAGGAGTCCTAGTGGACTTATGTGTAAGGTGAGCATTCAACAAGCCATTTAGGTGCCTCTTGCGTGACTGCTCTAGAATTTAGGAGCCTAAGTTCAAGAGAGAATTTGGGGAATCCAGGTGATTTAATTAGTTGCTAATACTGGCATAAGCATCTCGGATTTTGGGCCCACTTTCTTCTAGATGTCTAAACTGTGCTGTTGGGCAAGCTCTCTAGCATCCCTGTCCTTGCTAAGCCAATTGCTTATGTGCTTGTCCTTCTGCCTAAGGCCATTTTGAATGCAGAAAGCAAACAGATTTCAACCCACATCCCTACAGGCTGATCTTCTGCAGATATCTACATCATGAGCCCTCCTGAATTGTCTTAGTGGCAGAAACCGTACTTCTTGTGAATAATAACCTAGTAATCTAAATTACTAGAAGTACTTCTTCTCCATGAAGTGGGAGTTCTGGGAGTTAGGGTCTTCTCAGCATGAACAAGTTGAAAACCTGCTGTTACCCATCCCAGGAGAATCTTGACTGTTCCAGGAAAAGCACTGTCCTGAGTCACTCTGTGGTCAGGAAAGCAAAGCTCTTAGAGGCCAGAGGAAAGTAGGCGAGGAAGTCAGGGCTCTGCACCCCACTGATGAGGATGCACAGTTGGAGGAAGGAGCTGTAGAACTAACTGACTCTTGAACTACTTCTGAACTGAGCACAATGATTGCCTGAGGTAAATTATAAAATCAGCCCTGGAAGAGATCTCTCATCTAGGAATTGTAAGTGCAGAAAATAATTTCACACTGAATATCAGTTTCATGGAGATACTGTTCTGAGGGAGGCATTTTAGTTCATACAGGCTAGGTTTTAGGCATACCAGTTTATGAGTGCTCCCAGCTGGTTAGGTATCCTGTCCATCTTCAACTCTTCCACAAAGAGTGGAAATTTAGCACTTAAAACTAAAACAACATTCTGAAAGATGATGAACAAACTCAGATATTGACATGCAAATCTCTGAAGTGCTGGAGCTCCTGTATATCATACCTGCATACCGATACTGTTCCTGTCATTTCGCAGTTGATTTAGGACAATTGGTGCATTTGCACATTCAATGAAATTAGACAAATTCTGTCCAGAGTGGGTCCAGAGTGTTTTGCATGTGGTAGCATCGAAAAACTTTGCTAATGCTATATGGCTCAAAACCCTTCAATGGCTGACCCGCTACATTTTAAGTTTATGGACCAATGATCAGGTACTTTCATTTCTTTGAGGGATGTGTTAAAATATTGGCAAATAGGAGTTTTTACATCATGTTCATGCCATTGAACATAGGGGACAATAAAGTGGTGTTTAAATTACTGATTTATAAAAATGTTAGGTTATTGTTTGGAGTTTGCCAGAGCTATTGATTAGAGGTAAGCAACCCGATCTTGATCCTGCCTCAGAGCTTGTTTCCATCTTGTGTGCTGGTTCCAGAATCTGTTCTGTCTGTTATGCCTTGTTTCACACTGCAATCTCTTGTCTCATAATTCATACCTCTTAATCTTGTCCAGAATAACCTCACAGTATAAATGTGTTAGGAGCACATATTTCCTTCCCTCTCTTTTAAGTTTCTTTATAAAGGTTTTTTTTTTTCCTTTGGTCTACTTCTAAGGGGGACCAGTATCTCTCCTGGAAGCTGCCCTGAAAGATATTACTTTCATTGGAGGAATAGCAGCCTGGCTTGTGCCTGTTTAAACTGCTAGCTTTTGGTTGTAAAGTATCAGTGATAACCAAGAGGAGAGTTCCTCAGAGTCTGTAATTGCTGTTCACCTTTTTTGACTGCCTCTCTTGACAGTCCTGAAGAGTGAGTGCCTTCTTTAGGCTAGAATCCTCAATAAGCAGGAAAGACATTAAATTCCTCTCATGCCTCTTGAACAATGCTATGTTATTCTATATAGATGGAAGATTCCTTGAATGAGTAAGTAGCCAAGACAGCTGATCACGTTCAGGCTATTATTTGGTGCAGTGGTGACTTCTTTGAAGACACTACTCCTTAGTTCATGGAAAGACTTTTGCTACTATCCATTTCATGTGATATATCATATAGTTTGTGAATTGTTTGAGATGGGGATTTTTTTATGGGAAATGCAGAGCATGATTTTGCCACTTAAGAATAGAAAAGTACGTATTCAAAGGAGAAGGAGGTAGTGAAAACCCTGAAAATATCTAGGAGTGCCTCAGTAACAGTCACTAAACACAGTTAATAAACCTCAAGTTAGTGCTCACGTATCAGATATGGTAGAAGTCAAAGGCTTTCTTAAAATATTTTGTCAGCAATGGATCTCTCAAACAAAGCCACAGGATCCTTATTTTAAGTATTTGGGTCAGAAAAGTTTTCCAGAGACCTCTGAAAAGCTGTTTGGTCTTATAATTTGATATTGAAACATAGAATTTAGTCAACTTGATATGAAACCTGCTCTAAAGATTTTGCATTGAAAAGATCTAGTTTATTTTCCCACACCACCTTTGTGTCCAAGGCATTGCAGGCCAGAAGTTCCATCTTTCATTGACAGCACAATTGCTAATTAAATGTCAACTTTGAAGAGCTGAATTTATATCATATTCTTCTTGGGTCATGTCAAGACAGCCTTTGAGCTTTATTCCAAATGGCAGATTCATTTACATCAACTGCAAAATAAATGTAAGGAACCAGGTAATTCCAAAGTAAGCATTGGAAGCAGATTGCAAAAGAGAATCTGTTTCCCTATTCCAAGCTGAGAAAAAGTGGTTAGAATATTCAGTGCACTGAGATATCTGGAAGACGTTGTCAGTTCCAAAGAGTATGAGAGGAGCCATAAACTGTGCTCTCATTTTTACTTTTTCAGATAGGGAATGGAGTTTAAAAAGCAAAACAACTTTCCAGCACTTCAGAGTCAGGAGTCCTTGTCCATTTAACTGCTGAAATGTTGTTAAATGTTTCAGCCATTTTGGAACCAGAGTTTCATTATTAAAGTGAACAGACCTACTTTATTGGTTTATGAGTGGTATTCCCCAATTTAGTACTCACTCTGAAAAGAAAACCCACGAGCCACTACCCTTCTCCTCTGGTGAGAGACACAAAAGGCAGAGGTTGAGATAAGAACAATTTACTGGAAACAGCAATGAGATAAGAAACTAATAACAAACATGTTATTATGGAGCAGATCATCCTCAGTGCAATCACACAGCACCTACAGGATGGACAAGGGATCAGACCCAACCACCATAGGTTTAGGAAGGGCAGGTCCTGTCTGACCAACCTGATCTCCTTTTATGATCAGGTGACCCGTCTGGTGGATGAGGGGAAGGCTGTGGATGTGTCTCCCTGGACTTCAGCAAGACCTTTGACACCGTCTCCCACAGCATTCTCCTGAAAAAGCTGGCAGCCCACGGCTTGGACAGGGACACTGTGCTGGGTTAGGAACTGGCTGGAGGGACGGGCCCAGAGAGTGGTGGTGAACGGTGCTGCATCCAGTTGGTGGCCGGTCACTAGTGGTGTCCCCCAGGGACCAGAGTTGGGCCCAGTCCTGTTTGTATGGCCAGTCTTCGCGAGCGAAGATTTGGGAAAGGTCATTAACCCTTCGAGCCTGCGCAGTGGATTTTTTAGGTGAGACACAGTGTGCACTGAACTGAGCCCACCCTTTAATCCTGAGGTTCATCTATCGGGGCCGAGCAAGCTTGGACAGTGGCAGTGAGGTCCTCTGGACGTAGGTTTGTTTAGAGTGACCTTCTCTTGGATGGATGGCCTTACAGGGCTGACGAGCTCCATCTGCCCGGGGGAGTTTTTCCCTGGCTGGAATCGAACCCGGGTTGCAGCGGTGAGAGTGCTACAACCTAACCACTAGGCCACCAGGGCTCCCCTCCAGTCCTGTTTAATATCTTTATTAATGATTTAGATGAGGGGATGAGTCCATCATCAGCAGATTTGCAGGTGACACTAAACTGGGGGGGAATGTCGATCAGCTGGAAGGCAGGAGGGCTCTGCAGAGGGACCTGGATAGGTTGGAGAGTTGGGCTGATTCCAGCGGGATGAGGTTCAACAAGGCCAAGTGCCGGGTCCTGCACTTTGGCCACAACAACCCCATACAGCGCTACAGGCTGGGGACAGAGTGGCTGGAGAGCAGCCAGACAGAGAGGGACCTGGGAGTTTGGATTGACAAAAAGCTGAACATGAGCCAGCAGTGTGCCCAGGTGACCAAGAAGGCCAATGGCATCCTGGCCTGTATCAGGAACAGTGTGGCCAGCAGGTCCAAGGAAGTGATTCTTCCCCTGTACTCAGCACTGTTGAGGCCACACCTGGAGTACTGTGTCCAGTTCTGGGCCCCTCAGTTCAGGGTGCTGGAGCAGGTCCAGAGAAGAGCAACGAGGCTGGTGAAGGGACTCGAGCACAGGTCCTATGAGGAGAGGCTGAGGGAACTGGGGTTGTTTAGCCTGGAGAAGAGGAGGCTCAGGGGAGACCTCATCACTCTCTACGACTATCTGAAAGGAGGTTGTAGCCAGGTGGGGGTTGGTCTCTTTTCCCAGGCAACTATCAGCAAGACAAGAGGGCATGGTCTCAAGTTGTGCCAGGGGAGGTTTAGGTTAGATATTAGAAAGAATTTCTTTCCAGAGAGGGTGGTCAGACATTGGAATGGGCTGCCCAGGGAAGTGGTGGATTCTCCATCCCTGGAGATTTTTAAAAAGAGACTGGATGTGGCACTTAGTGCCATGGTCTAGTAACCGCAGCAGTAGTGGATCAAGGGTTGGACTTGATGATCTCAGAGGTCCCTTCCAACCCAGCTGATTCTATGATTCTATGTACAAAGAGAGGGTGATTTACATGCAAAACACTCACCAAGTCTGGGACAGTGAAAAGCAATGGTGAACAGACCCTCCGTCCATCAGCTTTTCCTTGTCCTCCAGAAAGGAACATGCTTTCTTCCTGGAAGTAAGAGAGAGTGCCTTTCCCCTGCCCCTGACAATGACGTAAGATGATATTGAATAACATTAGGGTCTTGACCATGCCCATAGGGCTCCAGGCTCTGCCCCCTCCCAGCTACTGTGAAAAATTAACTCTGTCATTGGCCAAAACCAAGACATTTATGAAACTCTATTTATGCTAGAAGTCTATTCAGAATTTTCAGGGATTATTTCTGTGAATGTCCCTTCCCTAGTTTGGAGTTAGATGATTTTGCCATTCTAATATTCCATTACGTGATTTAAGCTTCCTTGAATAAAAGGAATAATATGGGACAGGTTTCACAAAGAGCATTTATAAGAAGCTAGGAATATGTCATAGAATATCTTATTTTAAGTGAGGTTAAAGTAACTGTTCCTAGATTTGTCATGGCATCAGTCTTTCAACAGAGTTGCTAGACAAGAAGAAATGATCTGCCCTGATGCAGATGAAAACTGTTTTGGATCTTGTGTCATCTAAAATATATGTTTTTCCATTTTCCTAGATCTTGAAGTCATTCAAGGGTAATAGGAAAAGTAACTGTAATTCTGATTTGTATCAGAATGACCTTTATAGAGCCGATTTACAGATCGAAGTGACATTTAGAGAGTAGAGTAAGATCTTGAATTTCCTTGTGCTAATTCAAATCCAGACACACAGAAAGTAAAGACCTGTCTTGTAAGTCATTCCTGAGAAGTCAAAGGTGCTCTCAGCAGTATTACAGTCTCTCAGTTCTTCTGTATCAAAGATGGGGTCCATCTGTCAGAGAAGGAGAAGAGCATCTTCGGTTACAGGCTTGTGCAGCTGGTGAAGAGGGCTTTAAACTAAACTTGCTGGAGGAGGGGAACCTCCATCCATCCCACTCCTACCAGTTTGATGCCAGTGACAGCAGTAGCTGCCCAGAGCCTGTAGATGGATTGCAGGTCAGCAGGAGAGCACCTGAAGAGCAACACAAAGGAATTGCAGCCAGTAAATTGGCTTCATCAGAGCCCAACTTAAATGACTCTATGCACATGCTGTGTGCGTGCCTGCAGGGCTGTGATCTTGTTGGCATCATGGAGACATAGTGGGATGGCTCCTGTGACTGGAGTGCTGGAGTGGAAGGATTATGGGCTCTTTAGGAAGGGCAAGCAGGTAGATGAGGAGGGGATGTTGACCTCTATGTCATTGACCAGCTGGAGTGCATGGAGCTCCTCCTGGGGATGGATGAGGAGCTGACTGAAAGCTTATGGGTCAAATTAAGGGGAAGGCCCTGATAGAATTAAATTTGTCCAGATACTTCAGGGGCAACAAGAAAAGCTTCTGTAGGTACATTGGTGATAAAAAGAAGACCAGGGAAAATGGAGGTCCTCTCCAGAAGGAAACAGGAGACCTGGTTGTCTGGGATTTGGAGAAGGCTGAGGTACTCAAAGGCTTTGACAAGTGTGAGAGGTGGGCCCGTGCAAACCTCGTGAAGTTCATCAAGGCCAAGTGCAAGGTGCTACACTCAGGTCAGGGAAATCCCAAAGCACAAATACAGGCTGGGCAGAGAATGGATTGAGAGCAGCCCTGGGGAGAAGGACTTCGGTGTGTTGGTTGACAAGAAGCTCAGTGTGACCTGGCAATGTGCACTTGCAGCCCAGAAATTCATACACATCTTGGGATGCATCAAAAGCAGCATGGCCAGCAGGACGAGGAACATGATTCTCCCCCTCTGTCTGCTCTTGTGATACCCCACTTGGAGTGCTGCATCCAGCCCTCGGGCCTCCAACATAAAATGAAAAGGGACCTGCTGGAGTGAGCGCAGAGGAGGGCGATGAAGAGGGCTGGATCATCTCTCCTGTGAAGACAAACTGAGAAAGTTGGGGTTGTTCAGCCTAAAGAAGAGAAGGCTCCAGGGAGACCTTCCAGGACCTATAGGAGACCCACAAGAGACGTGGAGAGAGGCTTGACAAGGGCGCGTAGTGACAGGACAAGGGGTAGTGGCTTCAAACTGAAAGATTTAGGTTAGATATTAGGAAGATGTTCTTTGCTATGAGGGCCTTGAGGCACTGGAACAAGTTGCCCATAGAAGTTGTGGATGCCCTATCCCTGGAAGTGTGTGTTCAAGACCAGGTTGGATGGGGCTTGGAGCAACCTGGTCTAGTGGAAGGTGTCCCTGCCCATAACTGGGGGGGAGTTGGAACTAGATGATTTTTAAGGTCCCTTCCAACCCAAACCATTTAAAAACAAGGAAAAAAATCAGTCACTCAACAGATTCTATAAACCACTATAGTTCTGGATGGACAGGAAATCTAGGGATTTCCTAGTATCACTTGAGAGGTTCTTTTGCATCTTTCTTGGAATGTGGATGACAAATTTGATTTCATTAACAAGACCTTATAAAGGCAGCCTGGAGTGCAAGTGCAGGCATTACTTTCTTACTTAGACAAGAGATCTGTTTATATATACAGGCCCTTTTTAGTGCTTCCTGCTTTGGTTGGTTTCATGTCTTATTCAGCTTAGAGTTCAAGGCATCCTCCAGCCTAGCTTGTCATTTTGGATAGAAATGACTATAGCTGACTATTTCTGGCTAACCATGGTTAGTCGTAGTACCTGGTACTCTCCTTTGGCTTCTCTGCTATTTGTTTCAGATTATGACTGTAATTGAAATTGACCAAGGACTCTTGGAGGATAGGTTTCAAATTCATCCTCTTTGAACCTTCCCTCCCTTTTTTGCCCCAAATTTAGTGTTTAAAATTGCAGTGGCATTATTCTCTGTATCCCTTTATTAAAGAAAGTCACTAAAGAAAACTGAATTGTAGCAGACCCAGGACAGTCCCCTGAGGAACTCTCTAATACACCCTTCCAGTTAAGGCTCCAAACCGTTTATATTCACAAAGGAGCCTATGCTTCTCATTTTGCTATTAACTGGTTACGTTACGCTAAATTTATGTATGCTAAGTGGCTTCAATTTTCTTGTTTTTTAAATTCCTTCTGCTTGATTCGTAACTAGTTTCTAGAAATAAAGAAGTCCTCTTGCCCAAACAAGAAAATGATGCTATTAGAACTATGTTCTGAAAGTTTCAGTGAATAGCCAGGGAGATTTTCTTTTTGGAGATGACGTAACACAGTGGGGAAGAGTCTGAGTCTTGCTACCAGGTTAGATAGTGATCTAGAATCTTAAAATTCCTCCTGTTCTTAAGGTGGTTGTCTGCCTGGAAAAGTTTGAGGTTTTTCTGTTGAATAACATTGAATTACTGTTTTAAAGAATAAAAACTAAATAAGACTCACTTCTTCCAGGATAGAAATTTTAAGGCCGGAGTATTGTATTTGTTGGCAGTAGAGTTCTTGTCACACTAGAAGCCAAATAACTTATAATATGTACATGTTTATTTATTGTTACTCCTGTGACTTTTTCTCTTTTTCTTTCCTTCCATTCTTCCTCTCTCTTCTTCCTCCCCACAGGATCTTGGCTTGGCCCAGATTTCTGCCACTAACTCAATGACACCAGTTCCTTTGGGATCCCAGGCACATCAGATCTACAGGATGATGTGTGCCAAAGGCTATGCCCTGAAAGACTTCTCAGCTGTGTTCCAGTTTTTACGTGAGGAGGAAACCTTGTGAGCTGTCCTTTGGAAATGGACACAATAACAAAACACATTCTTTTATCCTTATAGCTCGTTTGAGAAGTTTGTGGGTTTAATCAAGTACTGTGCATCCTGCTCCCATACAGACTAATCATCTTTGGTTGTCTAGATTGCAACAAACTCCAGAGTTTCGTCATAATTCTTGAAAAAGCAAGTCACAGGAAGGAATTGTTTGGCAACAGCCAACAGCAAGTCCTTTTTTCTTTTTTTAAGAACCATCAATTTTTTTTTTTCACTAGATGCAGTAAATAAGAATTTTTTTTATTAAACACGTAACTGTTTGCTTTTAAAATAACTTACATTATGGCTACAAAGGTAGTTGAATCATGAATAATAAGAGAATGTTTTATTGTGATTTTATCATATATAGTGATCTATTAAAATTTTAAATTAATACTTTATGGAAAAAGGGAATATTTGTTCAATGAAGAAACACAGCTTGATATGGATATTTTTTTTTTCCTTGGACCTACTAGCCTTGGGTTGATCAGAAGTGAATTTGTCCTGGGATTCAGGTTGCAGATTAAGTTTATAGGCACTCGTTTTAAGTGGAAAGCTGTTACAGCATGTTTACCTGATAGACTTAGTTAAAATAATATAGAATGTGTGTCCCTCTTGTAAAGTTCCGTTATTGTATTTTGCTAACCCAATTTTATATTTTCTTGTATTCTGTCACACATTTTCAGAACCCAAGATGGGCACTTATCAGAAGTTCTAACAAAGTGTACATTCGTTTTAGTTAATTACTGAATTATTTTAAATCTAAACAAACCCCATTATTTTGAAAAGAAATAAAATCTATACTGGTAAATACTTGCTGTATGATTATTTGCATTTTGTTTTGATGCTGTCTTGTACACACAGTATTAACCAAAACTTGTACTAAGTGGTCTTATTTTTTAATTTGCTTGGTTTTCTACAGATTACCAGCTTATCTTGCAAAACCAGGCTTTCCAAAAGCTCTTGAAGAAATGCAGATGGTAATATATTTGCGTATGTATTACCTTAACCATTTACCGTCTCCTTGGTCTTGCAAGAGTACAGGTACACACTTGGCTTTATAACTACTCATGTTGATTTTGCTAGAACTACACACATTTAGGCTCTAAGTGTAATGATCAATTATGCATTTACAGTCCTGTTTTGATTGTATGATGGATCCTTTTATATGTGCACATTAGGTTATCAAAATTCCGGACATGAATTAGCTCAATTCTGTGAATGGTCAGAGAACTTGGATACTGTATTTTAACAACTTAGTAACATCATAACCACTCTGATGCTGGAAAACACAGAAACATAGAACCATAGTTGCAGATGTATGGTTTTACCTCTGGCAACAAGATCACATTACAACATTTTTTTTCCTATGGGACTCCTGCCTCACATAATACAAAGGATGGATCTAGTCTTGTAATGAATTTGGGGTCAACTAGTGAAGGATGTTTTTGCCAGTGGGATCCTTGTTCATTTAGAAGTTTTATAGTGGATGAGGTAAGGAATTGTAGGAGTGTCCTGGTTAAGTTTGTAGCCTCTCTGTATGACTTTGAGATCTGACTGGCATCAGCTGGACTGCTGAGAGATGCTTCTTTCTACTGTCCGCCCCAGCCTGTAGCAGCATTTGCTGTGAAAGTGTTTGCTGGTAACCCTGGGTTTACCTGTAACCCTGGGCTTAAAGGAAGCATAGCCATTTGTTTTCTGAAGACATTATATGCAGATACAATTGTTGGGAGTCATGACGGAAGAGAATATGCTCAGTGAGACCCAGTCTTCGAAGCTTTTAGCCTCTGAAATCATAAAGCTTCTGTTAAGTATGTGGAAACCTCGTTGTTATTTTTATGGTTCTCTCAGAGGCTTGTAGCTTAGGCTTCCTGGGGTTCATTTCTCCTTCCTCAAAACCTCTCATCAAATTTTAAATTCTTACTCCAGAGTATAGGGTGCTCAAGTTGGAGGAGAGGCTGCCAGAACTGCCATTTTGGCAAACCAAGAAAGTGTTCTGTGGTCTCCTTCTTGGAGGAGGATTTTGGCTGAAATTAAACAAACAAACAAGCAAAAAACCAAAACCCCAGCTTCAGGGCAGACAGCCAGCACATAAAGTTTTAGAACAGGCAGTTAATTTGGCAAAGTCAGAAACAACTTTTTAAATAAATCTTATTATAGAAAGTGCCTTGAAAACTTCAATGATATCCAATACCTGCAGCCAGTAATATGATTTATATTAGAATACATATTTTTTTTAAAAATTCTGCAGAAGAATATTGTGTGACTGTATACATATAGTGGTGATGGTATTCATGCTATCTATGGCTATTCTGCATGGGCGTATGTTTATAATGTATCTTGTGCTTGGGGTATATTCCTGATCTGTGGAAATTAAACAAATACTAAAACTGTTGTCACTGCCAGAAACAGGTGTTGAAAACTGTAATTTGTTGAGTTGAACAGAAAGATGGTAAAATTGATTGAATTTCCACACTAATTACCTCTCAGTGCATACACACAAATTAGGTGCAACAAATTAACAACATATTTTGTAAATGTCCCATAGGGAAACTTGAGGTGACTTCTTTTTAAATTAGTTTGAATGTTAAACCAGCCCTCCCATCATGCTTACTTTGGAAACTCACCTATATCAAATGCATTTATTGACTAACAGGAAAACACTGACAACCAATAAAAGTAGTGATATGTTTTTTAAAAAATCCTCAGCAGCCTTCTGTCATTTATGATTCAGTATAACCAGTCTTAAGCAACTATTTTTGGTGGTCGTTTAACAGAGGAGGCCTTCTGTTAAAACCACTGAGTACTATATTGCTTTAACTTTATTTATGGCTCTTACAAGCCTCAGGAGGAAGAGAAGGTATTCTGACCAAGTAAATGTATTATACGTGGTAGTCTGGCTCTGCTTTAGTCAATGGGAATTTGACCATTCAGTACAATACTGCCAAGATTTCACAGTGTGTGTTGAATGCCCACGTGATTACAGTGCAGATGTGGCCAAGATGCAGCTGTGGAGAAGCTCAAGCACAATGCTCTGGCAGGGGTTGTGCCACATTACTGGCATTAGGATTATGAGAAGTTGTGGTGGCTCTGAGAGTAAGGAGCCAGCACAAGCTGCTGAAGTTCGTATTGCTAGTCTCCACCCCAGCCGTGTCCCACACTGGATGAGCGCGATGCTGAGGGGTAAAAAATAGCTGCTATCCCTGCCTGCTTGAGAACAGAACTACCTGTCTTTTCAGCTGTTTAAATCTTACAGCTCTTTGCCACAAGGAGCTTTTATCGAATGGTTTATGGAACTGAAAGACTGGGGCCACCCCTGAAGCAAGCAGAGAAGGGCTGCCATCGTACAAGGGTTACTGTATTTATGCAACAGATGTCTGTCTATGCTTTTAGGCTACCAGCTTGATTTATAAGACAAAATCTATTCAGGCACGGTCTGGACCAGTAGTGATACCTGTTGCTTTTGACTGGTCTTTACATCATCATAGTCTTCTCCTCCCTCATAAAAATAAATGTAATCCAGCTTTTCTCAGGAAAAGTTGAGAATATTGTCTGTCTTCACAAGACTGGCTAGTAAGTTGTGGAAACTTTGAAGCAGTTTGGAAACCTCTGCTTTGTTTCTTTGGTACACTGACACAACATGTGGAGCTAAGGTTCTCTGCAGTATTTTAGACTTAAGGTTTACTAAGACCCTCTTGAAGTTTGAGGTTGTAGACTTCATGGACTTCAGTATCAAGTTCTTAGAACTCTTACTGCAACTCTGGCAAAACTGAAAAGTTGTATTTCCAGAGTAGGAGAAGTTTACTTCAGCATCTACAAATTAGAATAAACAGTACTTCTGAAAAGCTCAAGGTTTCAATAGAAAGAATGGCTTTGCTGTTCTGTGCAACAACATAATGGATGTGTGGTCTTTAAAGGCTGCTGGTAGTTTTGAGATTTGCTGCTTTATATTTGTGATTTGTCACCACCTCTCCAGCCTTCTAGCACGATTACACATTAAATTTTTTTCAATAAGAATGATAGCAGCCATTACGAAGTTTTCTTAGGGGGACAGAAAATGAGTATTTTTATATGGTTGGTGTGTTCAGTAGATGTATGAACTAGGCATCCATATGGCAGTAATTTTTTTTTTTGGTTTTGGCATTCATCATGGCTTGTAAGCACTTGAGGTAAATTGGAACAGGTGGATAAACCTTTCTGAAGTACTAAATGTCTCGTAACAACTACTGTATAATTAAAAGCCGTCTGGCTCTTTTTGCATTTACACCCAACTCTTCCTTTTGACCTTGACCCTGAGATGAGGTCTGGATTTTCATTTGAAGTAAGAAGTAATTCAGTCTGTTTCTTCATTTAGTTTTACTGAGCCTCCATTAGTGATGACAGACTTTGGTTTGTTAGAGTAAAGGGTGTAAATGGAGATAATAAATGTGCTAAGGTATGTTTTATGAAGTTCACTGATTTCAAAAAGACTTGGAGGACTGGCCAAAACCAACTGAAATCCAACTGATAAAAAGATGTTTACCTGTACCTAAAATGCTGCTACTCTGTAAAGAAATGCAAATATTGTTATACTACATTTCAGTCCTTATAGTATTTTTGTCTTGTTGAAATTCAAAGGAGAAAGCAGACAAGTAGAACAAAAGTAGTAGCCTTTTAATGTGGTCGTGCATAAGCTTTATTTGGCCAGAATCAAGTGTTACTGCTGTCTTCCAGTTTGAGATGCATGACAATATTAGCTTGTATTTATGCAGGCAACTTAGGGCACCAACAGCTGTAGGGAAGAAAGTGATGTGGGAAATAACTTAAAGAATACTCCTTAAGTTCACTGAGCTGCCTACTTTGTTCTGAGTCCTTTTTTCCAACTGATTTAACAGCATTAACTGAGCTGTAGCCACTGGTTGCAGGCATACCTGAGCCAGCTGTAAGCTAGTGCATTTGTGTATCTGCAGCTGTCGAGTCCCAGAGGCTTTCCTGGGTAAATACTGGGGCAGCAGTGCTATGTAACACAGGCTGTTTCCAGTACCTAAGCTGTCTGGTTTGTGGCTAGCAATAGTGGGTCATTTTTGCTTTCCAGTCATATTATTCCATGGCCTAAGAGCCTGGAAGCTTTCAATGACCAGTATTTAGTAGGCTAATGCATTTGATGTTGTAGCTGTTACCTGTTTTACAGCATCCTCCTGGCAGTCTGTGACCTGTCGCTTCTTCCTCTGTTTGTACGATGCCTAGGAGAAAGTCCCCTTGGTGTAGTGTAATTGTGTCAGGCAGCAGTCGAGCTGCAGTCTACAAAAAAGGCTGAGTTCAGTCACTCTCTGCTGATTGAAGCTGGAGCTTCAGACACAGGGAGTTAAGATATGCTTAGATTCCTCTCCATTTCTGCTTAAAAGCTTCTCATGCAAGCTCTACCTTGTTTGAACCTATGTATTGCAAGGCACCAGGAATCTGCAGTGTGTCAGTTGTTTGGGGTTTTTTCCTGTATCTGACTGTGTTGGAGCTACATTTGTTGTTCATACTTAAAAATAGCCAATTTCTGGTCCTTGTCAGGAGATGGGGAGAAAAACACCACTAAACAAATGGAGATTGGTAGGTCACAGGACCTGATGCTAACACGTTAGTCTCACTGGAAAGCCATTGGATCCTGTCCCCACCTCCAATTGCTGTGACTTTTTTTCCTCTGCTTGTCCCTGGGTAGATAACTGTGTTAGGTTATGTGGATGCAAATGGAGTCTGTGTTTAATAAAAGAGAAGTAAGCAGCATCTTGTGCTGTGTGACCTAGTGGGCCTATCAGGGAAAGGTGGTTCCTTGTAAAACAGAT